ATGGGGTATAAAAACACAATTACCCTTGTTTCTGGACATAGTAGAGTAAGGTACAGTACTGTGCCATTACGTGCACTCGACCTGCTTCGAGTCAATAATTAAAGCTAATTAGAGATCACTATTTGGGTTTGCTTTTATTTTCTATTGGCTTAATGTTTTTTATCGAAGCGATTTGATCTGGGTAAGGCTCAACTAATTTGCACTCAAACAAACCTCTAATCGAAAAGCGACAGGAAACTGAATTCACCGCTAAAATGAGACACTTTCAATACCGAGTCATTTGTGACCCAAAGCAGGCAGCAAATTACAGCTCTCTGAATTAATTTTCCTGAAAAGAGCGCATTTTATGAGTGTCTTTATCGATATAATAGGACATCTCGATGAAATGTTTTGTGGACTCAGCTTTAGAACTTTTTAATATGGCACGTAACTGGCACAATACCTTATCTGATTTTTGACTAATATTCTACTGTATGTGTATTTATAGAGATATTGCTTATTGGTCGATTTCCGCACCAAGGCTGGGCCGCTCAAATTGCTGTATGAGTTTGCTTGGTCTCCGTCCGAAAAATTCGGTATTTGCATGATTAGAGGTTGGTAAATGTCAGAATACTTCACTTCTATTTTAGACAAAACGGTTAAACAAACTCATCCTTTAGACCAAAACCAAACTTGTGAACAGAGAAACGGCTGAATCTGCGTACCGTGTTGACAACAGCTCCTGTTGCCCCTATGCCCGCGGTGATGCTTATCTTCCGCTTGTCAGAAATGTACATGAGGTTACACTCGTGTAACCGCGGCTCCGTAACCGGAGTCGGCCGCCACTCCCGCGGACGGTGAGGACACTGCTGGATGCGCGAGAACGCAGGTAAGAAGGTTAGCTAAAGAGCCTTACTTCTCAATATACAGTGTTTTTTCACAGATAAAACCAACAGGTTATGAGACCAACGGCTCACACCGTTGCCAGGAGCGAAGCTCTACGAGCTCCAGAAGCGAAGGAGGTCGCCCAAAAGAGGGATGATGGCCAGTACGGAGACGTTGATAAGTCAAAACGCCGTTCAAGCCGAAAAACCCGGACCTGCTCACGGACCTAGCAGGGCACATGGAGCGGCTGGAAGTCTCGCAACAGCGGCAAGAAGCCAAATAACGATTCTTGGATCGTGAGTCAAGCGTCTTCGGCTCTGCCATCGGGCTTGGATGAGCGATGGATCGGCAGGCGTTGGACCAGACGCCACCACAGCGGAACCCGCCAGTATCCCCGGCCACGAGCTTCAGCGTAAAGCAGCGTGTGTACGTATACGAGAACGCAGCCGCGAACGTAGAGATGGCACAAGCACCGCATCCAGCGCTACCTCAGCAATACATGCCACTTTGGCAGCCCCAGCTACCTGTGCAACCACCAGTCATGCAGCATGGAATGAATGCACCTGTGACCAGCTTCCCTCGAGTGCCTGACACACGTCAACGTAAACTCGAAATGCGCCCTTTCGACGGCAAGGCGCTCTTCCAAAGTCTCGGCAGCAGTTTCTTGTCGTTGGGCAAAAGGCTCGTTTGTTGTAAGCATGAACGATGCGCCATCTGCTCTATGGCTTCTTAACACAGAGCGTTCATGCGCTGTGCGAGGACTTTAATACCCGCATTTGACCCGAATTACGACGACTTTTAAAGATGTCGTCGATTGTCTTTACTTGATCGCGCGACGGCGGCCACTGCCGCATCACACAGTAGTTCTTGCCCGGCACGAGGTCGGTCGGGTGCTGTATGCTCTTGTCCGGCGGAAGCTCCACAGTAATCGCTTCCGGGAACACATTCTTGCGCTCCCGCAGAACATCGTAGAAGGGACTCGACTTTAATGTGTCCCTGCTCGGCTCGTCGAAGCGCTGCTTTTTCGTTTTCGCACTGATAGTGTCCTTACTCTCGGCGGTATTCGCAACGTTGAGTTGCCCCAACTCCTCCGTTTCGCTTTCCACCCTTTCCATATCCGAAAGGATGCATACCTGCCCGATGCTTCCACCGTACAGGTCCTTTGAGAAGCGCATCCAGCCCATGACTGGAAGCGATGTCAATTTCGACGCACTCGTCGGAGGATTCACCGGCTGCATTGACCGGTGCTGAAGGCCAGCACTAGTCCGCGTCAAGACGTGCAGCGTCTCGACGCACGACATCGTCTCCGATGTCTGCCCGGCAGACTTTACTCGTACTGTTTCGTCCCAGACCGAGATTGGGCAGCTTTCATCGTTTGCACCGCTTTATGTTCTTGTGAAGTCCAGCTTCACATGTTTATCGTCCATACCCGGCCTTGGACGGATTTCTGTTGTAACCGTCGGCGGATTCTTTCCGCGGACGCGAATGATTAAGTCCGGCTTGATTGCTTTCCGCTTCGTCGTCAGCCCGGCTGCCCGCAAGCACGCAAGCACTTTCTGTGTTGGACGTTTGCAACCGCCAACACTGCTTGCCGCGTCGTCAGCATCCGGAGCTGACGCGCTATCATAACCTCGACGCCTTTCGGCGGAGTCCTCTCTCGATGTTGATATCGAGTTTGTGTCGACTTCCGGAGTCGACACATCCTTGTTACCTCGACGCCTATCGGCGAGGTCCTTCGTGATTTTTAATCCAACCACGACCGTGTCAACTCCCGGAGATGACACGCCGACATCGCAGCTACTGCCTGTAGTCGTCGGTGTCCCTTGTATATCTGATTCGTCCGTCCCCGGGACCGATGCACCAACGAGGCAGCACCTTACGATGCATCATCCGGTGCCCATTCACAAGTCGCAACGACTGAGGCAGTTGTTGGGTCTGTCGCAACTCGGAAATCAGATTTGAGACACACTCCTACTTCAATTACAGCATTAACCCGGGGAGTTGATCGATCAAGTTTGAAGGAACTTCAAGTCACAGGCAATAGCTGTGACGGTGGTGTGGGATCGGATGCACCTGGTGGTGCATGCGCGACACTGACAGGGCCATCGCTCGCTGTCACATAGTGTACCAGCTGATCACTGGACCATGCCGTGCATGCCACGGCATGCCCAATACCAAGTAAAACTTATCGTACAGCTCCAAGACGATGGTACCTTCCACAAACACCTGGTGGCTGTACGAGCAGCGAATGCGTAATACGCGCTTCTCCGTACTTACGGTGGCACCTTCTACCAACCGTACTTCTAAAGCACTTCGAGGTGCTTAAAAATCTCGAAGCTTAACGTCGGAGACTTTTCAGTCGAACAAAGTTGCTCGACGTACCTGAGTCAGCCAAAGCACGAAGAGAACCTGCTCTATTCGATGTCACTTTCAGGATGACAAAATTTGGCTTGTCATCTTGCTTCTTGTAGCGAAAATCCCTCTTGCTGGGGGCTGCAGCTCCCAGTGTCGCGTGTCCGTTGTAGACACGCGCGACTGCAATACAAGTAGGGCGCCTTGCGCCTACCGGTTCTGCACGTGTTTTATTGCACTCGGCGATGCCCGTCATCGCCATATGGCCGCTGGCCGAGTGCACAGGCGCTGTGCACTCACGCGCAAAGTGTCCGGTGTACCCACACCGGTAGCACCGAACTTGTCCCCCAATATGTTGTTGGCGTCCAGCAGCGGAAGCGTTGGAGAGACCCATAGGCTCTGGACCTCCCACTCTCATCATCGGACGTGCCATCCTCGGCACGTTCGCATGCAGCTTAGTCTGCTTCAGAATAAATTCCTCTTGTATCGCAAGAGCAATCGCAGCCAATAGAGTACTTGGATACCCTCGGAAGAGATAGTTCTTAATTGACCCATCGTTTAAGCCCTTCATGAGCGTGACGACTTTTATCGCCTCGTCGATCGGGTTGATCGCATGGTTCGAGACCAAGTACCGCGTACGTTTGGCGTAAGCATGAACGTCATGCTTACCTTGCTGCAGGTCGAGAAACTCTTCTCTTGAGCGGAACTCATTCTGAGGGGGCTCTAACGCTTGTCTGAGCCTCTCCTTAATTATCGCATACGTGCTAAATCACATATGATCTGTGAGCCGGCGGCCATACGCCCAGCTTCGCGCTCGTCCGCAAGGCATGACATGGCGAACGCAACCTTCGACGGTTCGTCAGTGGTACAGTAAGACGAGCCACTATGGCAGTGTCGAACTCGACAAGCCATCGGAGAAGAGGCTCGCCCTCTTTTCCCACGTAATTGCTCACGTGCAGTTTCAATGACCGCACGCGCGGTGTCACCCCGGACGACACTTTCGTAGCAGTGTGGTGTAGTAGAACACACAAATATCGTCAGATGTGGATTCCTTACACAAACCACAACGAATCGCCGAGTTAGGTCGGCGGTTTGTATGGCCTGCGCAGAGGGTGGTCCCCTCGCGGTCCGGCCCTTCCGGGACAGACGAGTGGCTCGTTTCCACTCGGTTCCGACTAACCAAGTCAGATCACTTCCGAGACTCCGCCGAGTTTGGTTCGGCTGAGCTCGTTCACAACCCTGTGCCCTCCACCAAAGGATGGACGACGGCGCGCGAGCGCTTTTACAGGTCACCGAGCGCAGAGGCTGCTCAGCTAGAAGTGTTACGGCACCCGGGCTATCCGACGTACCGGCCCGCTGAGTATGCGGGACTTTCTTTCGCGCGTAGCGAGACTTTGTCCTACCCGGACCGACCTAATCTCTTGGCGCTACCAGTCAATACTCGCCATCGATCTCGCACCTGTTAATGTTAGTTCCATGGGTGGCGTCAATACATAGAGCCTCTGGAAACTTCCTGGCCATCCTCCTCATGTGCGCTGTCTGGAAGGTGATACAGCTTGTGAGAGTTGTTGTAGGATCCCGAAAAATTCTTACTGCGTTCCCCGGTCCCTCTCCAAAGTCCTGCAATAGCTCGGACACTCGAACGTTGTCATCAGATGACGTGTACGTCTCGCAACGCATCTCGGCAATCATTTTCTCGATATCCTTCGGTTGATGGGGGAGCCACCACAGTGGCTTCAGCCCTGGCTGCATCAGGAATTTTCTACCCCGTGGCCAACGATCCTTCACTCGAGTCTCCAAATACTCCACGTAGAGGGTACGGCTCTTCAAGAACAGCCTCCGAAGTGGAAAAGGCTCTGTGCGATACCACCAGCCTTCCTGCAGCAACTTGCCGAGATCCTGAGGATAACCCTCACCAAGTCGCTTCACCAGATCCGTCGCCAGTTCACGGAAAGCGCGTTGAGCTCGAGTTTGTCGCCACTTTCGGCGGTAATACTCGGTTGAGCGAGGCACGAAGGGCTGCCAGAAGTTACGTTCCCACACGGCATGACCATGAACGAGCCAGAACTCGTCCCAGCGCATGAAGAAGACATCAAACGGATCATGGCTCCGCGCGAAGTTAAAGGGAACATCGAGGCAGCGGAACACAAAGCGCCAAGGCTTCTTGGCTTCGATCTGTACCATGTTAGCGCGAATGATGTTATCCACCTCGTCTACCTGTAGATAGTCACATTCCCATGACGGCACACAGTGAACTCTAGCACTGCGTCGGGCACTCGCTTCATCTTCACTCTCAGTCTCTTCCGAATCCAAATCCTCGGAAGACGAGGAAGAGTTCGTGTCGGAAAAATGTTCGAGCTCTACGGGTAGCAAATCGAGCGCAGCCCCCGAGATGGCATCCTGAAAGCAGCTGGTCTGCTCATTGGACAGCTCTTCGTCGTCCGAGTCCATGGCAGCCTCCGCAACCTGCAGACGTGCTTGGCTTTGAGTCTCAATGAGCTCATCGTCGTCGTCCGAGTCGATCGCATCCACTGCATTAAGCAACAAGACGCTGCTACAATGTTTAGCAATCTCCTCCTCATTCTTGTATTGCGAGTCAACGTCCACAATGTCCATCAACGCAGTCGACGACGTGTCACCGCCAGCTGTAGCCAGGCAGAAGTTGACGCCCGGGGGACAAGCCTGCACGTAGAAACTTCCATCAGGGAGGTTGAATACTCTACCCACTGGTCGATGGGTCTCCATCGTCCGATGGTCTTAAGCCGTCACTTGTTGTGTTGGTGGTGGAGAGCTTTCTCGTTCTGAAATGACAGGAACTTTTGTTGGCTGCGGTTCTAGCACGAAGCCATTAGTCAGTCGACATCTCTCCATCAATCAAAGTGTGATGGCTGCAGACTACACTTACGAGAAACGCTGTCAGTTCAATCAATACAACAAACTATCGCCCATTCTCAGATTCTCGAAAACAAAACACGATCCTGCATGAACTTTCATCGACGCTGACGCTGCATACACTGCAGCACACAGAAGTCGTCGTGAGAACTCTTCCATTTATCCGCAAGTTGCTCAGGTCCTGCAAGTCGCGATGGACAAAATCCAATGAGGTGGGTGCACCTAGCTCGGCTGAACGCGACGAGTTCGTGACACATGCAATACTGTACAGTGATTTGGTATTCAGGCCAACGACCGAGACGATCACGGACATCTTGCGCGGCTGCGGTACTGGGAGTGATCTCAACGTTGACAGCAACGCAGACTGACTGGTACACTGTAATGAGCCAGTGGCTGCGCCGCAGCCTGCGGACCCCTTACATCTCTGGCTGGCAGATAGAGATGTCCATGCGATTACGAGATGCTTGTTGGATCTTTGTTGACGGGCGTGCTCATGGTTGCAATCGGCGGCGGCTGGATCTTCGGGCAAAAGTCACGGTACGGCGGTAGTTTTGTCTCAGTGGCATGATGCCGAATCGGAATTGATGAGGCGACAGGTCATCCCGCCGTTATATGTTCTCTGCCAGAGAATCTCTGGTGGATCATCCCGGCGGCAACCACGTCTCCATTTACTGAGGTCGATCAACAAACTTGTCAACTCGAAGGTTGACCCACATCGAGGTGATTGTACGTCAATTCTTTGGCAAGTAGAGCCTCATTAATACATTACCTGTAGAAAATGATACTATATAACATAGAATATGTGATATCTAACGATTTTTGTAGCTGAACCTCCCTCCTTTAAACGAATTGGTTACGATTCGCACGGAGCATCGTGGGACAATCCAGCGGTTTTGGCACATTCAAAAGCCGACTTGGTACCATATACCTTGCGAAAACAATTCTTTCGATCGTCATTGAGCTTTATTTTGAGCCAAGGAAACTTTATATTATGATCACACCAAACGTTGCGCTTTTGTTGCCTTTCTCTGCAGCGGTTGGGGCTGGATTTTGACAGCTGTCTATCAGCACAGGAAAATGTCCGAATCAGTGTGATTATAATGCTGAATCTGTGTGTGAGAATAGAGGTCGATTTTCATTCTACATATTTAGAATTAGGTTTTTAGAAAACAAATCTACTCTCCCAGCAATAAAAATGAGTACCACAAAGGTTATGCCTCGAATCAGTGTCAACTGCTTCTTTTGCTCTCCATTCCGTTTTACAGTACAGTTGTAAGCACAAGAGAAACGTGGATGTATTTTTCGCTATTATAGATCATCAAAATGCGATAAGAAAAACTTGTAGTGAGTATTTCGTGTACAGAGCAGGCTTCCACCGAAATTAAAAACACAAAATTCAAAAGGTGCAGTTCTTTGGTTGAACGCGCGCAAACATGTTATAGATAACCTCGAACCCACTTAGGTATTTTACACTGAGGTGTTATAAGCAATGATTAAAAAACGGTAGTACTTTAATCATTGCTTATAACACCTCTTAATTTAATGGAAATGGTGACGCGCCTACAAGTAGTGGTAAGATGCAACATGGGAGCTGTGCGCTCCAGAATAGCAGTCAACGAATAGTAATTGAGGGGCGTGAGGCATTACGTTTGCAGTAGCTGTAAGTTGTCGTGGGTGTTTCTAGTCGTCAATTCTTGTTTCGAAAACACAGATCGAGTCAACAGATGGTTCAGCATTGAATTTTTTCTTACACGGGTACAGACATTTTCCTTTACGCGTTTTTCGCTGTGGGTCGCCCACGAACGCCATTACAGTTAGGGAGAGGAACCCGCTTTATCGAGCGTAGCCGCCTCCGCCTAGCACTCCTTGCACTCGGCCGGCCGTGGCAGCTCACCTATCGAATGGACGTGGGCAGTCCCCAGCACCAGGACGCGTACCACCAACTGCAGACATCGCGCGCGCAGCAAACTCCGTCCAGCTCCAGCGCGTCGGCTCACGTCGAGACAGGCGCGCGTAACATGGCGCTCCGAGGAGGCCCCGACCCCACCATCGCAAGTAAGCGCGACGAATCCGCCGATTTCCGTGTCGTATCTCTTCCAGCCACGCAGCGACAGCGCAATTTGCCCGATAACGCGCCGCCCGAGTTCTGCTCCAATGTGGTCATCACGTCCAAGTACACGACGTGGAACTTCCTGCCGCTCTTCATGCTCGAGAGCTTCCGCAAACTGGCCAACGCCTACTTCCTACTTGTGTCCATCCTCCAGTGTATCCGAAGTATCAGTAACACCAACGGTCTGCCCTCTAATCTGCCTGTTCTCGTCTTCATCCTGGCCGTGGACGGCGTGCTCGCTGTCATTGAGGACCGCAGACGACACCTCGCAGACAAAGAGGCCAACTCGGCCCAATGTCACGTCCTCAAGGAGACGTTTACAGGCACATCAGATGCGCTCAACCGTGCGGGAGGCGTGGATGACCCAGACATCGCACTTATGCACTGGGCCGCTCTGACAGTTGGCTCGGTAGTGAAGCTCCACAACCGAGAGACAGCCCCCGCTGACTTATTGATTCTAGCGGTTGCCGAGCCTAATCCTAGTGAACCCGCAGGCATTTGCTACGTGGAGACCAAGAGTCTGGATGGAGAGACGAACCTCAAGCTGCGTCACGCCTGCGACGCCACGCTGCACGTCCGAACTGCAGCTCAAGTGGCTGCTTTGGGCGGTCAACTGCGCTGCGAGAACCCTAACAAGGCCATCGGGCGCTTCGACGGTACGTTATCCATCACGGAAGGAACGAAAGCGACAGAGACGCACCCGCAGCCTATCGCTATCAAGAACGTGCTGCTTCGTGGCTGTCAACTGCGTAATACCGACTGGATCTACGGCCTCGTGGTGAACACTGGATCAGACACCAAGATCATGCAGAGCGCGACGGCCACACGCCCCAAGTGGAGCTCGATCAACGAGACAGTCAACAAGATGATCATCTGGCTCTTCCTGCTGCTCTGTTTCCTGTGCATTATCGCCACAACCGTGCAGGTGATCTGGCTCAACAGCAACATCGAAGAGAGCTGGTACTTGAGCTGGTCGCCCAGCATGACAAGCCAGTGGTTCATTGGCTTTGGCTACTACTTTTTACTCATGTATCAGATGATCCCTGTGTCTCTGTATGTGACGATCTCAATGGTCATGTTTATCCAGGCGATCTTCATGACCTGGGACTTGGATATGTACTACGAAGAAGCTGATGTGCGCATGATCGTCCGATCTATGGGACTCAATGAGGAACTGGGCCAGATCTCGTACGTGTTTAGCGACAAGACCGGCACTCTGACCTGTAACGTCATGGAGTTCCGTAAGTGCTCCATCAACGGCGTCTCGTACGGTACCGGAATGACGGAGATTGGTCGCGCTGCTCTTCGTCGAAAGGGAGTCGTGGTGCCAGCAGAGACAGAGCCAGACCCAGCCACACGTCGAGCCAAGATCCCGTACGTCAATTTCGAGGACGTACGTTTGTTCAACGCGTTGGAGAGGCCAATTACGGACGACACACCGAACCGGGAGGCAGAGTTCTTTCTGCATCTGAGTCTGTGCCAGACTGTCATCCCTGAGACGGTGGAAGGCAGCTCGGAAATGCGTTTCTCGGCATCGTCGCCAGATGAGCAGGCGTTGGTGTCAGGTGCAAAGTTCTTCGGCTTTAGCTTTGAATCCCGTGGCCTGGGTGTTGCGCGTGTGCGCGTGAAGCGTCCAGAATTGATCCGTCGCTATGCGAACGGCGCTACCGAGCCGAACACGTTGTTGGAGTTCAAGATCTTGGACGTTCTGGAGTTTACGAGTGACCGCAAGCGTATGTCAGTGGTGGTGCAGTATCCCAACGGAGAGTACTGGGTGCTCACGAAGGGCGCTGACAATGTGATTTATCCCATGCTGGCTAAGGGCAAGAGTGACCCAGAAATGATGAAGGAGACGATGCGCCACTTGGAGACTTTCGGAGATGATGGGCTCCGTACACTTACGATCGCTCAGCGTCGTGTGGACGAGAAGGAATATCTAAACTGGAGCGCTCGCTTTAAGGAAGCCAACTCGTCTTTGGAGGAAATTGACAAGCGCAAGAACGGCCAGCCGAACGAGATTGACAAGCTCATGACGGAGATCGAGCGTGACTTGGAGCTCTTGGGTGCCACAGCTATTGAGGACAAGCTGCAGAACAATGTGCCCAGCTGCATCGCCAACCTCATGCGTGCTGGTATGCGCGTGTGGATGCTGACTGGAGACAAACAGGAGACGGCCATCAACATTTCGTATGCTTGCCAGCTCATGGACAACGACATGCAGCAGTTTATCTTCAACTGCGACTTGTACCCGACCAAGGACGCCATTCTGTCGCATTTATCTGACGCGAATGCACAGGTCCAACGCGGCAGTGGTCGCCACGCTGTAGTTATTGACGGCGAGTGCTTGGAATTGACACTGGCAGACGAGGGATGCCCAGCCAGGAGTTCTTGGCCGCTCGGTAAGGCCTAGGATGCCGTGGTGTGTATCGGTGTGTCTCCACAGTCAGAAGGCTGAAGTTGTGACACTGGTACCCCACGACGAACAAGAAAGGTGCGGACGCTGGCGATCGGGGATGGAGCCAACGATGTGGCGATGATTCAACGCGCCCATGTTGGGCGTGGGCATCTCTGGCCAAGAAGGAATGCAGGCTGTGAACTCGAGTGACTACGCTATCGGCCAGTTCTACTTCTTGGAGAAGCTCTTGCTGCACCACGGTCGTCTGAACTACAAGCGCATGTCCATTCTGGCTGGCTACATGTTCTACAAGAATATCGTGATGGTGCTGGCGCAGTACTTTTACATGTTTTGCACGGGCTCGTCTGGTCAGAAGTTCTACGGTGAGTTGGGCTTCCAGCTGTACAATATTGCCTACACTTCATTACCCATTATTATGCTGGGCGTGTTCGACTACGATGTGCCGTTTGAAGTGGGTAGACACTTTCCAGAGCTGTACCTGGTGGGTCCGCGTATGGAGCTGTTCAACAACTATACGTTCTTCAAGTGGATCTGCAGTGCCATCTACGAGGCAGCTGTCATCTTCGTGTTCGTTGTGTACGCGTTCAACGAGAACCTCTCCAATGCTGGCAGTGCACCGATGGTGCAGTACGGATTACTCGCGTTCACGATGGTTGTTCTGGTGGCCAACATTAAGTTGTGCATGCTGCAGATGTCGTGGACTGCTTACGGCACTGTGTTGTTCTTCGTGGGCGTTATCGCGTACCTGCCGCTTACTCCACTCATTTCAAGCTACTGGATCTCCATGTTCTCGACGGAATACGGCAGTTTTCAGAACACACTGGGCCAAGAAACGTATTGGATGGTCATCCCCATCTGTCTGGTGGTTTCTCTCCTTCGTCACTTCACGTGGACAGCCATCTGTCGTCGCTTCTACCCTGATCCATGGCAAATTGTGCAGGAGAGGTATGTGCTACACAATGGCAAGGACGCAAGGCAGAACCGCGCAATGTCTCGCATCGACATGGAAGCTGGCATCCCAGTGGTCAACGGAATGTTGCAGGACGACGAGACTGCGTACATCAACTCGTCGTCTCCTGGTCGCGGCTACAATGTAAGTGACGTCTGCCTGAATATAGGTCTTTTGAAAGCATTGTCTGACGTAATTCTCTATCCCAATTACAGCAGGCACAGGCTCAGTTCGCCGGCAAGACTCGAGGATCTGGCAGTGGATTCGCCTTCAGCTACGACCCGCAGACTTCTCTGGCCGAGTCGTACATGTCAACACACGACGTGCGTCAATCAGCGTCGGCCATGCACGAGGCAGAACAACGTGGCCGGAGGTCTCGGGAAGACTCGCGAGCGTCGGACTACGAGTCGTCCCATTCGGCAGCTGTCGTGGACTCCACCAAGGGCTCCTCATCTACGGGGCTATTCGTGTAGCTGCTTTGAACGAGGTTTCGTTACACTATCATGGCCGACGTGCGTTGCTCTTCATACAGAGCCACGACTCTATCGTCCAAAAACGCAGAAGAAGGCTGTTTCGTCTTTCGGTTGTCGCGCGGTTCTCTAAAATTTTAACTTTGCTTTTACGTGTGAAAGCTGCGAGTTTGAGATCACAAGGACGTTGGACGAGGCGGTTGTAGGGCAGTCCAACGGCAGGGCATGTACATACGCAACAGGATCAACTGTGGCAAGTCTAACGGTGGAATATCAAATGATCTCGAGTTCTCGGTTTCGGAACAAGTTTAACAATATCTTTACTCACCACATCAAGCAAACGACACTAAATAATACGGCGAAGGGAGTGCCATGTACGGTCGTCGACACGACAGCATTTGAGTCAGCTGTCACGTTCGGCGGCACAGTGTTGATCGAGTTAATGGCAGAGGTGCCATCCGCTTGCTCTTCCGATCCTGCTTGACTTGCATGTGCTGGCTCGTAGTTCCAATCCACCAAAGAGGCTGGGCGTGAGAAGCTGCAGCCGTCGGCGTATTTTAAGGGCACGTGGAGACACGCGTTGGAGAAGTAGGCGCTCACTACGTTCACGATAGAACCGGGCAAAAAGTCTTGAATCAACGAAAACACTGCGGCACCATTGACGCATTTGCCAAAGGCAAACAGAGACTGCAAGTCGATGCCGTACGACTTGGAGCTGTTGTCAGCGAGTGAAAGACCGTCGACCCACGTAGCGAAGCGATCCAGCGCTACCACGCAGCCGCTCGTCGTGTACTGGCCACTCGCCACGGCTTCAATGATATCGCCGTTCGTATTCGTGTAAGCTTCGCCCTCATCCTGGAGGGAGGCCTGGTCAGTGGGCACCTGCAAGTCCTTCAGAAGTGCCGCAGCACGGTTAGCAGATGTGGTGTTAGCCACCTCGCCTGAGCTCTGAAGAAACGTGTAGCCGCATCGCTGCGAGCTGGTGCCGTTGAGCGCCGGCGTTTGTGTGGCACAGAACACGTCTCCTATGAGCTGTGCCATCTTGGTGTACTGGCCCGTGATCGAGTAGTCAAAGAGCGAGACACTTTCGCTCTCCCAGGCGGCGCAGCATCCGTTCACCGCTGTAGAGCGCAGGGTGGCCAGCGATGGCAACAACTGCGCGCGCAGACACGGCACGAAGCCGTTCACGTACAAAGAGCATATTTGCTCGATTTCGCCCTCTTCAACGAGTCCTAGGCCATCAATGAACGAGTCCTTCGCTTCGTTGTCGCTGCTGCTTAAGCTGACCGAGAAATTGCCAAGCGCGTACTGCACCAGAGGCACGTTAAGCAGCTCCAATGCATTGATACACGTGTCGACGGATGTACTGGAGACCATGACCTGGCCCAGCGATGTTCCATTCATGTTGGCAAGACACGAACTGCCAGCATTTGAGATGAGGAATTTGCTGGTCGCTGAGTTGCCCAAAACGCCCACGAGCAGATTGGCGTAGTCGTCACCGATGACAGCGCGCAGAGGCTCAAGAACAGGCGGGTTGCTGTCCGAAAGTGCAGCGGAGCATGCTGACATAAATTATGTCTCGGCGGTGACGTCGTCAGCTAGGGAAAGCGACAGCAGCGCCGCTGAAAGAAGCGAAGCGCGCATGTCACTCTCGGTTTTAATAATACTAATTGTTTTGCTGTGTGGGAAAAGTCAAGGTGGACACTGAATATAAAAATTACTTCGAAGTAATATTTACGCCGTCACGCGGGGGTGAAACGAATTTCGATCGAACATCACGATTACTATTTACTAGTATGGCAGCCTCACGGCGATTGGTCGCCACGGTTGCTAAGGGGCCAATACCGAAAAATTTATTATAAAAAAACTTTTGGGCACCGCCCCCCAAGCATCATATGCAAATACATAGGTTGAAGCACAACAACAATTTTTTTCATTTTGAAAAGCTACAGTTGACAGGACCTTGTTGCTGCCAGTTGCGTCGCTACAGAGGAGGTAAGTGTGTACTGCTGGTGCGGTGAACGTCCTGATACGACAGCACTCACGCTATGTTATGCTGTCAAGATCTTAGCTGTGCCAAACGCCGAAGAAGGTCCACGCTAGGGGCTCACAACCAGAAAGAAGCCTCAGTTCAGACCAATGCAAGTATCCTGGTTATTGTCGCAACAAGAGGGCATTCAAGAGGAATGGAGAACGCCACTGGCTCTGCGCTGAACATCGCGATCATCAGAATACTATGCAGCGTGATCGCTACCGGAAAACTACTAAGAAGGATGGCAAGAAGAAAACGAAGAAGAAAACTACGGCAATAAAAAAACGGAAGATCCAGAGTTCTACGTCTTTGAGCACCAAAAATAAGGGATCAACTCCTGCATCTACGGCTTCGATTGAAGATTCCTGTTCAAGCACAAGCCGTGATAACGTAGTTGTGGAGCATGTCGAGCTGGATGTACCTGCGGTGAGCAACGCTCAGCGACCACGTGCTGTCGAAGGTGTTAAGGAAAAATCATCAGGGCAATCAATCCGTGAAGACGAGAATGCAAGTTCTGCCCTAGGCGGGGAGGTTTCGACGCATCGTGAACATTCGCCTTGCCTGTGCCACAATTCCCCTTTGGTGCAGTCTTCCCAAATGATCTACATGCTAGTTCCGCTACAGAATGGGGCATCATTGCCGTTATGCACGGCTCAGCAACAGTCTATGATGCCGGCCTCTGTGGTGGTTGCACCAGGAAGTTTAGGTGGTGCTACTACAGTCTCTCAAGTTCAGCATGTAATGCTACCGGTATCTCAAGTCCAGAATAACGTCACCTCATCCCAGCGCGCCTATGTTGTGTCTGCGCCACCAGCTCCAACAAGTACGTACTCGCCGCTTATTCTTTGAAGATCATCATGTAAGCGGCTACGTCAACTAACTGTGGAATGGCTTTGTTGCATTAGAGCAGGGTGGTGAAACTGACGCTGGCAATACGGTCAGTATTTGAGGCATGGGAGCTTACTGCGTGTTCTTCGCGTGCTGTGATATGCTCTTACGATTTTTAAAGTACTACGAACACAATAATTCATAGGAATTAAAATTATTTTGATTCAAGGTGAATATTATTCTACAGACGGTTTATCTAAAATTGACGTAAACTTGCACTTCATACAGGCAAACTTGCACATTTTTTTTTGCAGGAAAGAGCAAACCAAGCCGAGCTCTTACATACATGTAGTAAAACTCTATTTCGAGTTGAAAATCACATTTTCATTAATTGCCCAGCGATATTATGTATTCTTGCCGATACTGCAAATACAACGAGTCATAGCCCCGTTAATACGCAGACTCCAGTAGTTGATACAGTGCGAATGAACGCTTGTGGATGCACTGGTTACATTGTTTAAAATTTTTTTGTTTGGTGACGTTACATTGACGCCACTTAGTTAGACTAACGACTTCATAGTTTTATTTGAATCTTCACTCAATTTCCATGTTCTGTTCGTGTCGTAGCCCTTGTTTGCCAGCAGTCACGATCAACCCGAAGAGCTTAGTTTTACTTAAGTCCTTCGAAGTACAGCACTAGAATCTTGCTTCCACCCAGGTATGCGCAGCCATCATTACTGCAGCAATATTACATTGCTTTATCGGAGTCCCTAAAACAAAGCATATTAAAAAGCCTCGTTGCTGTCCAGAATCACAAGCTTTCTCACCTCTTGTAGTTCTCGGGGCGACAAAGTTGTCTTTTTCTATTGCGTTGCGCTACGAGCTGTTTTGGCGCCTCGAAAGCCATTTTTCGTAGTTTTGACCTTCCTATCATCTTGGTGTGATGGTGCTGTTGTGGGCTTGCGCCACCGCTTTCATTCTGTCTACCACCGACGAAGCAGCTAGCGTCGTTTGGGCGACAGCTTTTAAAACACGCTGCTCCTCACTTCGGAAAATTGCTAATTGCTCGGGAGTAGCTGTGAGTCGTTCTAGTGTCAGTGGCTGTGTAATAACTATTAAATTTCAATGTGTTATACGTGAAAGGGCTACGTATGCAAACGAAATGTTTGGAATTGCATTAGAGTGAAAAACCACACACGAGCATGTAAGCCCTTGTACCTTATGCACTGTCATAGCATAAGCCAATCGAAGCGGAATTCCCCTTCGAACAACGCGAAGATCACTGGATGCCTTTCCCCAAGAAACGTCTTTTGGTGGTATTGGAACGATATTTGGTACTTCATCTAGTAGGGAAGGACCGATATACGGGTCCGTGACTTGAACGAGCACGATGGGTAGATCGCTTCCCGACACAAAAATAAAGTCATATACGATAGCATTTGTACCATTGCACAGACCTGCAGCTTGGGCAATGTTGTAGGTAAGTGTTATAGGTGCACCAACACACAGTTTTAACCTGTTAGGCACCACTCTGTCATGATCAGCGTTAGCTGTTTGAGCGTCTGTTCGAAGTGCGCGAACGGTTCCAGCAGGTATGTCTCGTTTTGTCGTTAAACGTTTTTGTTGAACGAAATGCTGCGAAGTTAAATGCACAATCGGTACATGAGCTGATACTATACTGTGATCGTTGGCGTCATTAACATCTATATTTTTGTATGCAATATGTTTGGCATTAGCCATCCACTTAGGTTTTCCAACAAATTGCACTGAACGGGAGTTGAAGAGATCAATGTCATCCTGGGTTGGCGATTTTTTACGTAGACGACGAAGAGCGCTAAACCAGTCAGGATCTAAAGCTCCTCTATTTTGACTAGTTAGCATACACACCGTTTCAATACTATCCCATATTTCTTTCCCACGTCGCTGAACCTGGTTTGAAATCTTTTGAAGGGGTGTTGATAGCGAAGTTGGGACAACGGGGTCTAATTGAGCAGAATCTCCAGTAAAGTACACATCTCTTCCACCAAAAAGCTCGTTTGAGTTGCTTGGCCATATTTCTCTCATTCTTTTATCATTCCAATATAACATGCCGCATGATATCATGCTAAACTCATCAATAATAACTAGATGTACGTCATTATATTCTTCCTGCAATCGTTTCAGCTTTGTTGGGCCCGTTTTCGAGTCCGTTAGAGATTTGTAGGGAATTGAGAATGAGGACTTTGAAAACGATGAAAATGAGAAAGCTGAGCACAGTGTCATTCCTTTTATGTTAAATGCAGCAGTTCCTTGATGAGCTAGGAGTAGTACCCGTTTTGATTTCCGTCTCGTAGCTTTATGTTCACCAAATACGTTGTGCATGTCCTTCACTATATGGCGAATTAGCCAGCTTTTCCCAGAGCACCTTCACCGTTTATAATCATTTGGAGAGGCTTACACTTAGATTTATCCAGCATACATGTAAACCGTCTTCTCGATTGTTCCATTGCAATTGCAAACGGAATCCACTGCGATTCAGCCATTTTTTCGGTATTAACTAGATTTTTGTTATCCGAAGTAGGGTATTGATAGTGCGATTTCAAATTTCCAGTTTGACAAAAACTGGTTCCTAGTGATCGAGATTCTTTTTTCTCCTTCACCCATGGCTTTAGTGATCCATTCAAAAAGTCACGAGCTTTATCAATGATGGCAGACGTGTAGGTGTGTTTGGCTTTCCACTCCATCGGTTTATTTTGGTTTACTGAGGTTTCTACCGCACCCATCGGCTCTGGTTCTAGCATTTCTCCATCATTATTCGATACAAACACATACTCAGACGGAGGCAGGGCAGTTATACTTGATTCGCTACGAGCGGATTTTATTAAATCTAATTGATACTGCCGAGCTAACTTGGCATTTGATTCGTGTTTCAACTCTGCATCCAGCAGCGAATTTAGAGCTTGAAAAAAGCGTGCTATTGCTTTATCATCGGTTGTGGGAAGCTCCTCTAACGTCCGCCATGGAACATACAAAAATACTTCGGAGAAACAGAAAGTGGGGTTCGACGAATCGGGTCGTATCCAGGGTGTCTTTTGCACAACCGTGGCTTTCTTGCGTTTCTTGATCCACCCTTCACCGTTCATACACTCGTACAGATCATCGGAGGATGCTACTTTACGTATCGACTCAATCGTTTCGAAAGTCTCTACAAATGTTGCTAAAGTCATAGCGTTAAAATGATCATTGTCCGGGCGATTCATGTACGCTTTCTCGATAGGCTCAATTCGAATAGTCTCGATCTCTGGTGTACTTGCTAAGGCAACAAGGTCGTCTAGGTTTTGCGGCTCAACGCGATAGTAACGGGTACTGTGACGCATCACCTTGACTTTGGTGATTGAGCGGGATTTACTATGCATTGGTGGATTGCGAAGGAGAATGTATATAGCTTCCGGTGCACCAACCTCGCGAACCGCGAGAGTCGCATTTGCTACTCGCTTCAGAATCGAATGATAGGGAAGATTTGAGTCACTCCGTTGTATAGCTTTTGCAATCACTCGCCTGAATCGAAGTGTATCTGGCTCTGCTTTGCTTACATACGCTCCTGCGTATTCAGCAGCTCGGTAGGAGTTTTCAATTAGTTGCAGGTCCATATTAGCACGCCAACACGAAAGGAGATGCGGTGAATAATTGTTAATAGTGGACCCTCACGTTGTAAGTGGATTTTCAAGGAAGGTGTGCCATCTGAACTCGTTTTCGACTCAATTACAGTTCTAGGTTGTAAACTCTTGGGGAATCCAAAACGACA